TTTACCTGTTGTGGAATGAAAGGTAATTTGATCAGGAAGGATCCTGGAGGCATACAGATCAGTTAGGGAACTACAGTCTACAAACGAGTTAATAAGGCGGTACTCTAGGATGGTGCAGTTATATTTTGAAGGAAAGGATGGAAGCCAAAGGCCCTTTTGTGCCTAATAAAAAATACCAAGAATGGGGAAAAGAAATGTTAAAGATAATTATGAGATATCTGGGTGAAAAGTAGAATTAGAGAAATCAGGTAAAGGGCTTTGTGAATTGGTCTGCTTGTTTGTTCTGTGGGAGAAGAGTTTAAGTAAAATGTGTTGCACTTAAGTCACAGAAACAATGCTTAGAGAAGCTGTCCAGTGGTAGTTAGAAATATACCTTAAACACAGGAGAGCAGTGAAGGGTGCAGATAAATCTATAGAATTTGAAGCCATGGGGCTGATGTCAACTCTAACAAGATAAACAGAAAGATGAAAATGTGTAAATATAGGTGAAGTTAATGTCAGGGAAGGTTTCCTGACATTAGAGGATATGAATTTTAAACATCAGTTCAAAAACAATCTGTAAGATGACATAAGGATACATCATACTTACGTTAAATCTAACATCACTGCCTTGAGCCTAGTAAGGGACAAATACAATGGAATACAGTATAGACTAAATCCTCTAAGCTGCAGGATTGTGATTTACTTTAGCTAGGTCAGAAGTCACGTTGTCCTTGGCATGGTTAACAGTTCTGGGAAGTGTGTTGGAGAGAGGGTGAGTTCAGGTGTTACTAGATCCAAATCTCAACCCTGCCAGTAAATAAACTTTAGTTAAGCACTTTAAGCAAAATTTCAGTCTCTCATTCATAAAATAAGTACAGAATTATTATGGGATAAGAGATAGCGTATGTATGTATTATATGCCTGGTCCATTGTTTGTATCCATTAAAGTAGAGTGGCCATTATTATTATTATTTCTTTTCTTTTTGAGATGGAGTCTCGCACTGTTGCCCGGGCTGGAGGGCGATAGCATGACCTTGGCTCACTGCAATCTCTGCCTCCCAGATTCATGTAATTCTCCTGCCTCAGCCTCCTGAGTAGCTGGGATTACAGATGTGTGCCACCATTCCCAGTTAATTTTTGTATTTTTAGTAGAGATGGGCTTTCACTATGTTGACCAGAGGGTCTTGAACGCCTGACCTCGTGATCCACCTGCCTTGGCCTCCCAAAGTACTGGAATTACAGGTGTGAGCCACCATGCCTGGACTTTTTATTTTTTCTAATTTTTTGTTACTGACAAGGATAAAACTACATTTCTAAGGATAGAATTGTACCGATTTCCATTGCCAAGGCAATGTATGGAAGATAGAGAAACATTTTGGATCTGACACTGAAAAATTATTATATGGTTTTCCTAGGTGCCATGGGCTAACTCTGTGTGTCTGGTGTAATTTTGAGCAGAAGGAAAGAATGCTCAGTAAAATAACTATTTACATGCCATGTGAATTTTGATAACATTGATAATGTTAGCAGAACTTCTTGGAGAACTTATATATTTAAAGGTGGTTATTGATAAGGTCTGAGAGAAAAAGAAAACTGCAGTTTTAAGTATAATCTATAGCTCAAAGGAGAAAAGATGAAAAAGTAAGTATCAGATATAAACTGAGGAATTATCTACAACCTTTATTTACATAGAGCAAAGAGTTTATTTTTGTTAAGTATATATGAAGCCAAATATTGGTAGATTTGATGCTTATATGTGCACAGATTTTTAAAAACTATGAACTTTTTATACCCACAGAAGGATGTAAGTTCACTGTACATGATTTCAAGAAATAAAAGCAATAAGGAGTTTTTGGTAAGTAGAAATTGATAATGTGACTTTTACAGAGGCACAGGTAAAACAGTGGTCATATGTTTATATATCGCTAAGAAGTATTTTTACGCTTGTATTTGGTTATATAACACTCAGGATAGCATGGCAGCCAGGCATATGGGTCATGGACCAAGACTTCCTATATGTGAACTCCAGTTGCCAGACCAAGTATCTCAGTTTCCTAATCTGTAAAGTAGTATCCAGTTAATGGGACAGTTAAGATAGTTAAATGAACTGATACCTATAATGAGGTTAGGCCACTCCTAACACATGGTAATCATTCAAAATAAGTGAATCATTTTATTACTTATTACCGTTATTATCAATATTCCTTTGTAATGGAATGTTGCCTAAATATGCTTTTATTTTCCAAATCTGCTTCATTGATCATAATATTTATGCTCTGAATTGAAGGACATTAATTATTACTATAGTTACTTGATATAGGGCAGTGTTTACTAAAATTTAAGTGACGTGTTTCTCTCTTTTTTTTTTGTTTGAGATAACATCTCACTCTGCTGCCCAGGCTGAAGTGCAGTGGTACCATTATGGCTCATTGCAACCTTGACCTCCCAGGCTCAGGTGATCCTCCCACCTCAGCCTCCCAAAGTAGCTGGGACTCCAGGTGTATGCCACTACAACCAGCTTGTGTGTGTGTGTGTGTGTGTGTGTGTGTGTGTGTGTGTTTTGCAGAGAGAGGGTTTCTGCCACATTGCCCAGGCTGGTCTTGAACTCCTAGGAAAGTGATACACTTGCCTCGACCTCCCAAAGTGCTGGGATTACAGGTGTGAGCCTCCATACCTAGCCAGGAACATGTTTCTTAAACCTCTTTGAAATCTCCTGTACCAGGTAAATGCGAAGAATATGAAGAACCTGAAGGCAGGGCAAAAACACTGTGCTAGAAAAAAACAGTATTAGGAGGTTCAAAAGGTGAAGAGTTGGAAAATGCATATCAGAGGAGGTCAAGGAAATTCCGAAAGTCTCCACTTGATAAACATAAAAAAAGACATTTCAAAGACTGGGGTTGTCAAAAGACTTCTAATAACAGATGATGGACCAGTTTTTGGTTTGAGATTGTTCCTCTCATCTTTGAACAGTGGGTGAAGGGCTGCCTGATTTGTATATCTCGTCTCCCCACAACACGAAAGAAAAGGACAGTTTAAGGGCCACTTGTCCAGCAGGCTTATTTACAGAGCCACTGCTGGTAGCATCTGTTGACTGTCTGGAAAACCTAGTGTTGGCTGAACAGTTTGTTCTCTACTATCTTCATGTTGAGGGATCCAGAGGCAGTCATAAGGTTGATCAATAAGGGTTCAGTTTTAACCAGTTTCTCGGGGGAACATGAAGACCTCCTAACCATAAAAGCACATCATCCTTAGGCTAAAGGTATGAATAGAAGGAAATGGTGCTTTCTAGATTCAGTAAGTCCCCCAATTAAGTAAATTTCTAGCTTAAAAGTCTGTGAATCAAGAATTCTTCATTTTATTTGCCCTACACAGGTTAGAAATGAAACAGGGTCAGTGACCCTGGTTTAGCAGGAATACACATTTTACATCTTAAACCATGAGATGTTAACCAGTAAGAAATTTTCCAACTGTTATCTGACCCCAACCTCTGCTTCTTTTGTGGTTACTGCTTCAATCCAGCTGAGTTGTTCTGCTTCTCATATCAAAGATCAGCTAAGAAAACTATGTACTATCTATTTAATTCAAACGTAATTATATAATTAAAAGCAAGTATTTTGACAGAGATACTTCAGAATTAAAAAACAGGAAGGTATGAAATTGCTTGAAAATTGTCACATCATTTCATAGTTGACAATTACTTACATTACACTTACATTACTTATAGTGATTTTTAGCATTTGTATCTAGAAATAAATGATGCTAGAGTCAGAGAATAGAACTCACATATATTAGTGGAGGAGGCTGTCCTCCTCTGAGTAATCAAGATGAAAGTACCTTAGGTTTTATACCTTGATTAGCATAGATTAGATTTTTGATCGCCTTATGTTCAGTGAAGAACACTTTTATAGGCATTTTGAACAAAGAAGATAAAAGGTAAGCTTATGAAGTTTTTCCTTGATAAAAACAACAGCATAAAAATTCAAATACTATGTTAGTAGAGAAACGACAGTAAAACATAAAAATAGAGACATCAAAGTGGTAATAAAAATATCTTAAGAATAATATGTATGAAAGATACATATTTTAAAAAGCTTTAATAAGGATCTTAGATTTTTTTCAATGCCCAGTGATATGCTACTATTAAAAAATAAATAGTAAAATGTTGAAAACTTACTCCAAGAGGCTACCAAAATGCCATAGTATTTGTTGTTGTTTTGGTAATATTTTATTATGAATAATTTTATTTTAAAAATCTGTTTCTTATGCTCTATGAATAAGAAAAATGCAAATCCATATATCGCACAAACACATTTTATATTTGTGTCTAATTCTTTATGTATATGGTATAATGATCATAAATCAAAGGCATAGCTATTATTTTCCTTGTTCAAGGGTAGTGGCTTCACACTGTTAACATATAAAGATATATTCTTCATGTTTCCAGACTGGGTGGTAAGGAAGAAGAAACAAATACATGGGCATTCTGCAGTTGTCGCCATTGTGAGGATTGTATTCATTCAAGTTGTTACCTAAATCACATGACATAACCTCTACTTACAGAACTGCAAGTATAGCAAGATTACTAAGAACAGATTTTCTCTAATGTTATCAAAGACCTCAAAACTCTACACAACCATATATATAACTTGCAATATCTTCTAGAGGATTAAATCATTCACTATATTGCTACAGATATATAAGTGAAATAAAAAATTAAAGTTGAAAGAATATGGCAACTTTCAACTTATTCTTTCAACTTCTTTAATTCCACATCCTTTCCATTCGATATCATAATCTTCTCTCTCTGAAGATAATTGCAATATATATTTAGATGTGAACACACAGAAGAGTAAGATATGTGTATATACACATGTATATTATATCTGTGTGTATTTGTATGTATATGTGTGCATGTGTGTGTGTGTATATATATATATATATACACACACACATATATATGTATATCTTAGATCTAAAACAGCAAATTTATAAACCCATAAAAAATTTAAATGACTAACCTGGTGTTACTACTTCTCCATTTCCATTGACTACAGGCCTCTCTTCCTCTTCCTCCTCAGGAGGCTCTATACTGGCTTTCTCCATGTTGCTCACTGATTTATTCCTCTTCCGTTTTCCTTCAGCACTTGGAGTGGCTCCTGGAAGTATCTGGTCTGTTACATTTAACAATAATGGTGCTGGTTCTGCTGGTGGCTTTGGGGTACCGTAGTAATTGTCTGTAAACAATACCAAAACATTCTTGGAGTTAAATGTTTTTTCTACTGTGTACATTATTTGTGAAGAATGGAAATTATATGAACACAGTTTTATCCTATATGTACATAGACACATACACATAGATATGATTTTCTATCTACAGCTATGGGTCTATCTATATATATATTTATTTGTTCCTTCTGTTGCACTGGCTTTAATGCTTAGAGATATAGCTCTATCTACATTCTCATCTTTGTAAAAAACCAAAATATAGTCTTATGTGTTATTTCCAAGTGGTACATAATTTTTAAATTACTTTTTAATAACAAGACTTGATTATAACCTTTAAAAATCATTATGTTAAGAGTACAGGTAATTTTTTGTAGCAGGGGAATCTCATACTGTTCAGGAAAAGCAAAGCACATTGTGCTATTCTGTAGCTTTCAAAGGATTATGGCTACTGTCCTTGATGTGCAGAGTATCCTGCCTAGAGCTGTATCCCCATGCCAGTCTAGTGGTTCCCATGGTATCTGACAGTCAGCCTGCTGCTCTATTCACTCTTCAGATTACCACAGCTCTTTTGCCCACAGCTCCAATATCTGAGCTATAAGATCATCTGTTTCCCCCATCCATCTGCAGTACTTTTTTGAAAAGAGACTCATTCTTAACTATTCCCATATTAAAACCTAGCATGTAATAAATGTTTACTAAGTGATCATCTTTATTATTTCATTTTATTGAGACAGAGTCTCGCTGTTGCCCAGGCTAGAGGGCAATGGTGCAATCTCGGCTCACTGATACTTCCGCCTCCTAGGTTTGACCAATTCTCATGCGTCAGCCTCCCAAGTAGCTGGGACTACAGGTGTGTGCCACCATGCCTGGCTAATTTTTGTATTTTTAGTTGAGATGGGGTTTTTCCATGTTGGCCAGGCTGGTCTTAAACTCCTGATCTCAAGTGATCCACCCACCTCAGCCCCCAAACTGCTAGAATTACAGGCATGAGCCACTGCACCTGGCTGTGAACATCTTTATATGTTCAAGGAAAAACACTTCATTTAAAATATCCTAAATTTTTGAATGGTAAAGAACATAGGTATTTCTTTTTTAATCAATCTTATAGCACCAACTTTTAACCTATATCAATATTTTCAGTTAAGTTATACCCTTATTTGCTCACTCTTTCATTAAAATCTGTATTGGTAGTATGCACCCAGGCACTCCAGTATATGTTTGAGAGAAAAAGATGAATATAATATAATCCTTGTCTTCCAAGATGCCCCACAGTCCAGTAAGGGAGACCAAATTTGATGTCAAACAGAAAAGCACTATAACAGGAAATAGGAGTAAGCACTGCAATGGAGGGGATATACAGGAGGAAGGAAGCACACCTCACCATCTGCAAGGTCACTCAACGGATATGGAAAAAAGCATGCTGTTAAAGAAACGACCATTAACCATAAGACTTAGAATTGAGGCTTGGCTTTTCTATATAACCACAAGCAAGTTGCTTAACTTCTGTAAGGCTCAATTTCTTCATCTACAAGTGGGGAAGATCAATACTTGTTCTAATCACCTGTGTTCTGGACTGCAAAAAAACACAACCGAGGGCTGGGCGCGGTGGCTCAAACCTGTAATCCCAGCACTTTGGGAGGCCGAGGCAGGTGGATCATGAGCTCAAGAGATCGAGACCATCCTGGTCACCATGGTGAAACCCTGTCTCTACTAAAAATACAAAAAATTAGCTGGGCATGGTAGTGCGTGCCTGTAATCCCAGCTACTGAGGAGGCTGAGGCAGGAGAATTGCCTGAACCCAGGAGGCAGAGGTTGCGGTGAACCGAGATTGCGCCATTGCACTCCAGCCTGGGTAACAAGAGAGAAACTCCGTCTCAAAACAAACAAACAAACAAACAAACAAACAAACAAACAAACAAACAAAACAAAACAAACAAACAAACAAAAAACCACAACCTACTCGAATTAAATGTGATAGGGATGCGCTAAATAAATATATGAGACGGTTAGTCGAGGGATGTATTAGTCTGCTGTCAAACTGCTATAAAAAACTGCCCGAGACCAGGTAATTTACAAAGGAAAGAGGTTTAACTGACTCACATTTTCACATGGCTGACAAGACCTCAGGAAACTTACAAGCATGAGAAGAGGGGAAGCAGACATCTTTACAAGGCAGCAGGAGGGAGAATGAACACAGGAGGAACTACCATATACTTATAAAACTATCAGAACTCGTGAGAACTCACTCACGAGAACAGAACAGGATGGGGGCAACTGCCTCCATAATTTAATTACTTTCACCTGGTTTCTCCCTGGACACATGGGGATTGTGGAGACTACAATTCAAGATGAGATTTTGGGTAAGGACACTGCCAAACTATATCAAGTGGAAAGGCTGAAAAACCATGAGAAAAAATGGCAGAAACAAAGGAGTCCACTCCAGACACATTGCCTTTGATAGCCCTGGAATTCCAGATGGTTCTACTGCCAAAGCATGTAATCCACAGGGCAAACTGTCTCCATGAGAATGGGTTCAAAACTGTCCTTAGCTGCTCTGATTCTCCCATTCCTGGGGAAATCTCAGGCAGGATCATCTCATTAGCGGAGCCTCAGTCACATGAAAGCACTTGAGCTGACAAGGACGTGAAGAGATGTGTACTCTCCTTTGACTTTAATAGAGGGAGAGGGAGGTGGAGCCCTACCGTCCACCCATTTTATATCAGGGGTCTCCCTAGGTAGAAGGGGCCTCCCCCAGTAGAAAGGGCCTTGGAATGCTGGCAGGTAGAAATGACAAATCTCCACTCCATTTGCCTTCTCACTGGGTTCTTGTGAAGATGAAGTAAGGATGTGTAAAAAAGAGCTTTATAAAAAAACTAAAAATTGCAGTGGTTTGAGTGACAGTATAAACCTCATGCTGGCATAAAGTGAGCAAATATTCTGAAGGCTAGCCATGCCAATAATGCCACTACTCATTACTATAGGTATTCACAGTTGTAAGAGAGAAATACAAGAAAAAAATTTAAGCTGCAAAATGGTTCTTATCCATATACTGTAACTATGTAACTTTTTTCTTTTACAGAAGTATGCAAAGTGGATAATACACACTTTGCTAAATGTTACTTTCTAATTTGATTTAGAGCATTTAAAATAAATCAGACCTCTATATGTACTAGACAAATTCTAAGCAAACAAAAATAAATAGTTGCTCCCTGGAATCAATGAACTTTAATATTTCAGCATTCCCAAAGACTAGCATGGCTTTCAGTATGTTGCTATGCTTTCTATGGAATCTCAACACATATGTTTTATCTAATAAACATAATGTAAACATAATCTATGAGTTAATAAATAATATATGATTTTAAAGTAGCCTTATAATGTCTTTAATACATAGTACTAAGAAAAATGAACCACACTTCAGTGTATTTTTTCCCCATTTGTCCTGTCAATTTTAAATTTCCTGTAATAAAAAACTTTTACTAATTATAAATAAATGCATAGCACAGGCTAAAAACAAATACTAAATAACAGATCCTGCTAAATTTATATTACTAATTACATCTACTGGTATGTAATGTGACTATAAATAATATGGTAATATTTTATTTCTAGAAATGTATTTATGAAATTAATACATTAAATTTTATATGTAAAACTATGAATCATTAGTTAAGACATTAAGATTATCTTTATTGGCAATAATAGCAATATAAAGAAAGTACATAAATAAGGCATACTGTTACTATACTTGACAATAGAGTTTATGGAGAATACGCTGCCCTAAGCCAACATTTTTATGTCATTGTATAAGAACAAGGAAACTAGAAATACTTAGACCAATGGTTGAAGAATTAGCCAACCAGTCAGGTAGCTAATTCACTGAAAAGACTCCCTGATGTAAGTGCATACAACTAAATGTATCAAGGATAAAATGTGCCTTTTAGGTACATACCAGTATGTTGTCAGAAAAAAAAAAATCAAAACTTAATACAATTTGGAAGAACTGTCCCCTTAAGGATGAAGTACCTATATGCATAGTGTTTGGATGCAGAAAATCTAAAATTAAAACAGACAAACAAAACCTCCGCAAACCCACAACAATATGGCGTAATGCTTGACAGCATAAATCCTAATGTGATAAACCTGACTTTGAATCCTGTGTCCTCTAATTTCACTATCTCTTTATATCCTTAAATCAATTCAGCTAAAATGGCAATGTGGGGCTGTAAGAGGACCACAGTCACAAAAGCTACTGTAACTATTACTATGATTATTACCACTACCACTGCTACAATGTACTAACCCGCACACTGTCATGGGGCATTTTTCATAAGTACTCTTGTATCAAATGGGGATTAGAAAAACTCTTACCCCACAAGGATGTTATATAGATTAATGATACTAAAAGGATATATGATGTGACTAGATCAGAGTAGATGCTCAAAATAGGGTGCTACTTTTGATATTTATCCATCAAAATATTGCATAAAGTCATTCTGCCTGTGCAGTTAATAGAGACTAAGAAATTACATCCTAATATGATACATAAAGCAAGGAGCAAACTTATGTCTCTTTAAGAATCTCATCTCTTTTGAAAATATGCTATTGCCTTTTAAGAGGAAAAAAAAGCGTGATGCAATTGCAACTTTTCCAGAACTCACAGTAGAGAACTTCATTCAAAGCCACAATCAATGAACACAAATTTATCAGCTTCAGAAGCAAAAGGCAAAATTGCTACCAAACCATACAACAAGGACATTTTAGGTCATTTTTCCCATCCACTCCTTTAAAAATAAGTGTGTGAGAGTGAGTGATTGTGAGTGTGTGTGTGTGTGTGTGTGTGTTTTGAGGACAGTACAGGCTTTTCTAGAGCACTCTTCACTGAGTATGTTTGTACGTGTGAAGAATGACCTATACATTAGCAGTTAACTTATTGAGTACAACAAAATGATACATAAAATTGTCCCCTTAATTCTGTCATATTTGGATAATCTATAAATTTACATAG